TGTTGGGGCGCGGCGGCAGGAGGTGGGCGTGGGTCCCCTCGTGTCCCTACGCCCAGACACCTGCTGCTGCGGCCCTCAAGGTGAAACCCGCCAAACCAGGTGGCCGGCAACTGAGCTGAGAGGGGTGGGCAGGAAAGGAAGGCTCCCGTGGCTGAAGGAGGCATTTCGAGGCCTCCCTCGCAATATTTCATCTCCGCCTTCTTGCATCTTCACTTAACGCCCACAGTGTTGTTGCTGGTGGTGGGGGAACAGAGTATCTTGCATCTGGACGCTCTCTGATGTCCGAAGCCATGTCTGGGATTTTATGGTTTCTGTGAAGACTATGAAGCATATGTTACATTTGCCTGAAGTCCTAATGATAGGCTGCTGGATCTAAAAGGATGCAACTGTTAGTTTGTTTACTCCTTTCAAATGTTTTGTTTTGGGAGGGAAACAGTCTAGTGAATTTTGTTTTTGTTAATTCCCTTGGGTTTGTGTTGTGTTTCCAGTACTGGGGGAAAATAAGCTGGGAAAAAAAATATATATGGCAACTGAAACTTACAAAAATGGGACTGTGTTACAGTTTGTAAAGAACTTTGTTTACAAAATAAATTGTTGAGTTTGATTGATAGTGACCCTTTAAGTATTGTGTGTCTGGCTTGTGTAGAAGGTATTGTGGATCTTACATAAATAATGCAATAAAACCAAGAAAAATGCCTAGAAGTCATTTACATCTTGTTTTGACAACATCTGTGTGGTCTATTAACGAAAAGATGAATCTCATCCTGCAGTTGATTTTGGAAGGTGCATCTCTTCCACTTTGATCACCATGTGTGTCTGTTATGCCTCACAATTCTATTCTCATAATGCTTACAGTCCCCTTAAAATGTGTCATTATCAGAACCAATTCTAAGATGTTTGTGTATACCTATAAGGTTGCTAGAAGGATAGCTTGTTTTCAGCATGCTTTTCATGGTTTAAGTTCTTACATTCATCAGCCCAGCTGCCCTGCTGCTTGAAATTACTCTCTCCACAGTAGAGCTGGCAGGCTGAAATGTGTGCCCTGTTTTAACCACTCTTGTACAAAGTATCATGATAGTTTAAACTTCTGTTAGCCGTTCAAGCTAAGCCATTGGACTTTGCATTGAAGTAGGTCCAGTATGGGCTTGTGTTCTCTCGGTTCTTCGGGGGAAGAATAAAGGTGGGTAGGCACTAATTTTTGGTAGAAAAGTAAAAAAAGAGGTAGCATCTTAAACTGCTGTAGGTGTTTGCCAAGCAAACTTAAGTCATTGCACATTGTCAATTATGGCAAATCATGTATGTGAAGAGAATGTGTTGTATGTTAGGACATGGATATTTAGTCTTGAGCTTTAGCTACTATAAAATGGAAGAACTGGTGTGTTAATTACTGGTTTTGGGAAGTCTTACTTTATTAGTCTTCTTGTTTGCCTTAAAGTACCTGTCCTTTGCTTTATTCAGGTGTGTTCAGAATAGCTAGAATAAATCCTCTTGCTTGAACATTGGTTCATACTCCTTCAGTGTGAATGACTCTTGTAAGACGAAAGTGTGTAACTGTAATGGTCTTACCGGTAACCAGGAATTATCAGTTTGTAGAAAGTCCATTAGTTACCAGCTAATGCTTCTAAACTGAGTGTTAGGAGCAGCAGAAAATTGTAACTATTGCCTTGAGTACTCTCTTTATAGAACACTTACTAATACAGCAGTCAACATGTGGCATTTTGTAAGGAAGTAAATACAGTATGTATTGTTTTTCAATTAAATTAGTGTTTTTAAAAAATATCTTCAAATGGTCAGAGTTTAAGTATGAGCTCTTCTGCCCCACTTGTCAGTGGCGTGTTTGTTACCTTGAGTAATTTACAGCTTTGTTTTCTAAAATCGTGAAGTTAGTTAATTTTCAGGTGGAACTGTGTGCCCAATAATATGATTGAATATGTTAAGTTAGCGTTTTAATAGGTTACTTACCCTTCTTTTCTCCCACTTCTCCTACCACAGTTTGATGTCCGTATTCTCTAGCCTTTTTGTGGAGCAATGCCTTAAAATGTGTGCATACTCAGTTTCTGCATTTCAGCTAAAAAGCAGCAGGTTCTTAAGGTGCGCTAACTTAGCAGCCTAACTGATTTAGCATAAAGTCATGCCATTGCAAGGACTTCTGAAAAAGCTCTGCTTAAACTGTGTGCATGTCAGCTTCCTGATCTGTTTTGTGAATGAAGATGCCTTTCAAAGGGTGTGATGATACTGCTGAGAGAAAAGCGGTGTTAGCCTTCAAAAGGCAATATGAAATGCTGTAAATGGCTAACTAATGAAGTAAAGTAAAAGTAATACCGATTATGGTTACACTAGTGATGTTAGAAATTACAATGAGAGTACATTGATAATTGAACCCTTGGTCTCATTGCAATCAGTAGTGTAAGTCCCGTTGATTTCAGTGGAAGCAGAACTAATGTGGCTTGTCAATTGTAGACTCCTAATGGAAAAGCTTACAAGAAGGGCTAGGCTGTGAAGTGTCAGAATGGCCCTCAGTTTTATTTCTCTTTCTCGTGGTGATAGGATCTTAATTAAAGGAGCCTAGGACTTAAGTCTGTTTTTGTGTTGGCACTGAATAAATGGGCTTCATTGAATGCTGCAGAGGTAGGAGAAAAAAAATTTCGTTTTTATTTTCTCTTTATAAACCTGTGCATACTTCAGTTAACTCTACATTCCTGATCATTTGCGTGCTTATCTTTTTTCCTTTGATATTTGCAGACTACATGTGAAATTACATCAAATAAGTAGGATAATTTTTTTTTTTTCCATCCCTGTGCAGCTCAAGACAAAAGCAAAGAGGAGCATACTAAAATGTCACCTGAAGTTGCCTTGAACAGAATTTCTCCGGCACTCTCACCCTTCATTTCCAGTGTGGTCAGAAATGGAAAAGTAGGACTGGATGCTACTAATTGTTTACGGATTACAGACCTGAAATCTGGGTGAGTTCCTCAGCCAAAAAGAACACCCAACACTTCACAGTTAAAATGTCATTTCAGGGCTGAATTTTACTAGGTTTGTTTGTATTTAAGCATTTCCAATTTATCTGGAGCTGACAAACTAGCTAGATTATTTTTTTTGTCTTGCTACCATTTTGTAGTTTGGGAGACTTAATTTGTCATATTGTTGGCAATAATAATCTTGTTAAAACACTCATGGCTGCCACTTGGTAGTGCTGTTTTTGAGCAGCGAGGTAGTTATAACCACTTTTTCCTGTTGTTCGTCACTTGCTTACTCGATCTTTTCTGTAAATTAAAAACTTGAGGATAAATTTTTGTGACCTTGCCTGTAGTCATGGATATGCTGAATAAGAGAAAGATTAAGTTTTACATTATCTGACTTCCCTCAAGATCAGTACATCAAGTGGCTGTAGAGCCACGTGTTCGAAATAGTCTAAGCTATTCCTTTTAATTCCAGAAGGTTTCATGGTGGTTTTCAAATAGTAAAAAAGTTTGAGATCTACATGTCCAAAGGGACTCTGGAGCGTAACCTCTGTGAATAATACATGGTGGAAGTGAAATGCTCAAAGTAGAATGTACTTCAGGCATTGTGCAGGGAGGGGAGACTCCCCAGGTTAGTAATAAAAGAATATTTAAGATGAGACATGTCAGAAATTGCTTTATTCTTTTAGAGTTGGGCATTTGACGGCATCCCTGATTCAGGTATTCGTTTGATGCTGGAGCTCAGAGCCTGAAATTACTTTAGTTTAAGGTGTCTAAATTACCACTTTTGTACAAACTACTGCTTTGTGTCTAATTTTGAATGATACCATAAGCCAATAGATCTTGAGAACCACCAGAAATCACTGTTGTCTAAAATTTGGTTCTGTTGAAAACTTTGTTTAATGTTCTTCTGTGGGCTGCTTTATTATAGTTTCGTGGAGAGTTGGGGAGATACTTTTCTGGTAGTTACAATGCCTTTTCAGGAAGGTGGTGTGAATCCTAGGGTTGGTTTGGAAGGAACTGTTCTCTCCCTGTGAGGTACAGTGACAGACTGCAGATTTACCTGGAGGTCTAAGCAGCTATAACTTTGTTATTAGTTTTATCTAGCTTGGCGTTTAGGTTTGCAAGTTATGTGAGACAGGCTGAGCAGTTACGCATCTGCTGATGTCATTTTGTGCTAGACCTTGCTTTCTCTTGAACTAGTCTTCTAGGAAGGTTGAGATGGGAGCTGTCTTGCATTTCTTCTATTGAATCTGAGAGAAAGGAATACAAAAAAAGGTAGAGAGAAAACACAGCTGTAGTCTGGTGGTAAAGGCATCAGCTTGTTGGGAGGTAGATAAGGGTTTTCCTTGCTGCCCTCTTATGCTGTCCACCTTTAAAATAGTAGATTAAAATAATATAAAGTGATGCTTTCTAGTTGACTCTTTCCTAGAAAGACTATTTTAAAGGTATTTTTAATAAGCGTCTGAAGTTTTCAGACAGTGATCTTGCCGAGAACGTATTGAATTTAATTTGATAAATCCTGAATGTTTTCTAAGAGTTTATTATTTAAAAAACTGAAAGCTGCCCCCAACTGTGCCTGTCACACAAACACAGTGATTTGAATTGTATAGTAACTGTGTTGAACGTAGAGTTTGCAACGGAAGTACAGCCCCTGACAGAGGTTGTCCCATATCTTGTTTAAAAGCATAGGCCCAGCTAATATGCAAGTGCTAGCAATGTTGTGGTTTTTTTGCTTGTTCTGGAACATAGAAATGAACCTCATTCTTTATGCTGAGACTTTTTTATGGCTTGAGGTTATTAGGAGCTGGAGATGAGATAATCAAGATTCTGCATTTAGTTGAGAATTATTTTTGAGGTGCTTTTTTTGTACAAATAAGTTTCTTAAAAGCATTCTTCTAAACAGGATTTATTAGCAATTGTTTAAAATGTCTTTGAAATGTAAACTGCGTGCATGTGAGTCTTTAGGAAAGATCTTTGTTGTTGGTTTCAAATAAATCATTGTTAGTTTATTAATAATAGAAAATTTTGAATTAATGTATCAGTGTAGAAATACAAGCTTTCTTGTGATTTAGTGGTTCATGATGTCACTGAACAGGTAAACAGTGTAAAATTACTTAACATAAGATGAGTGCATCACAGAATTATAGAGAAGTCCATTCTATAACTTAAGATCTAGTTCAGTGATCTTTAACCTTTGATGCAGGAGCCTTTGGGACACCAAGGACTGTTTTGAGAGGTCCATGTCAATACTGATTAATAACAAAATCCCCAGCCCACCTTGTTGTCAGTAGATTTAAGTTTGTTGTTGGATACTGCCTCTGAAGGAAAACTCTGTAGGGCTCTCAGAGTCCAAAAATGGATTTAAAACCATTGATCTACTCTCTTCTATCCTCACATCACGAGATTATTCAAACCCCTGTATACTTTCACTTTCTTGAAGCTTTTTTAAAAGAGAGAAATGACAATGCAAAGAAAATAGCAGGCATAGGCAAATGTAGGTGGTAGCCACATGAAGAAACATAAGTATAAGGACATAGAGGTTGGACTTAAACAGGTGGAGAATGAGGAGAACAGTTGTTAGAGTAATGGGGATGAGGTTCGGGACATTAATTGAAAAAACCCCTTCAGTTTCAGTGGGATTGCATCAGGCTTTAAATTAAAAAATGGGACAGACAGGTGAGGAAGAGGTACTAGATTAAATGTTTGAAGTTAAATAAAAAGCAGTTCTTGATCTCAAATGAATATGACCATTTATAAGTATTATCAATTCAGAAACTTTGCTTTTGAATAGTGATTGTACATTTATTGACACATGAAAGGGGCTGTAAACATATCTCTTCCATAGCCTAGCTTGAGTTTATTACAGAATGTGCAGATATTTTATGCTCTAACTGGTGTGTTGTTTGTAAGATTTTTAAGAATAAAATAAATGCAATTTTACTATAACCTTTAAGATGTTAAAATACTTAAGATAATAATCTCAATAGCTATTAACTTTGAAAACAGAAGCATCTGGATTCTTCTGGGTCAAGGGGGAGAGTTGCATGGCTGCTCCACTGACATGCACCACAGTGTTCCTCTGATAGAAAATTAGGTGTTACTGTAGTTACTCCTCTCTCCTGACGAACCAGTGCTTTACCATGTATAATAAAACAAAATGTACAAACTGAGATCCGTCCGTTCTCATTTTTAGGTTTTAGAAGCTGAGGCTGTGGTTAACGGACTAATGGTAATATACTGAATACAGTAATATCCCCAAGGTCTTGCTCAATCAGAGCCTTGGTTTTGAGTCTCAACTCAAAAGTGGAAGGAGTTTCCCTTTTACTTCACCAGTGCAAGATCAAGTCCCAGGTTTATAGCCTATCATGTCAGGTGATTTTGATTTGTAAATGACAAATATATTAAGCATTTAATTGAAAAGTCAATGTGGATGTCAGATGTTTTTATTAAGGAACTTATTTTGCACTTATTCTAACTTATTGCTAAGATGGACTACTTAGTTTTCTTGTGTTTTATAACCTGTATTAAAGAGCTGATGTTAGATTCAAAGTATGAAGCATGATGATACGTTAATTTGCTTTGCTTTCAAGTGTGGGAGGGAAGTATGTCAGAGTAAGGAAATCCTATTGTTTTGCAGTCTTCAAGTATGTAAATGTTTTATAATAATATGTTACAGTTCCATAATATCTATGTGTGTTACAAACTTATTAGACAGTACCAGTCTCATCAGACGCTTGAATGCATTTACATCTTTGAGTAGGACCTTCAGGATCAAGTCCTGTTTATAGGAAGTATATGGACACTGCTGATGTAGAGTGAGTAAAGAAATGTGAGTACTCCTGAATGGAGCTCAGCAATATGACATGACAGGAAAGAAGGAAACTCTTCAATAGAAACAGTCATAAAAAGTTAGGTGGCCAAGCCTGCAGAGCTGTTACCTTCTTTCCTGTAAAGAGGGCTCCACAATGAACAAAAATAGAACCTGAGTGTTAAGTCACATCTAAAATATAGCACCTTCATCAGCATTGATTCTGGTGATAAGAAAACCCTGGCACACATCTCTGTTGCATTAATAAAATACATTATTTGAGATGACAGAGTGGATCAAAGCATTTTAACTCTTGCATAGGTTATTACTCTATTCTAGACCTAGAGAAAATACTGAGTCAATGCCATATATTGTATCATTCAGTTAATTTCCAGTGGTGTCTCTTTGAAATAATAACCCATCTTAATTAGGCATTGAAATCTACTCATAGCCAACTGAATTGTTGCTAAGGCATTTTTCTTAGCATTTATACATATAATCATGGGAAAGATGTTGAATAGGGAAACGTGATTATTAGGTAGATTTAGAAATAGAGGAAATTTTCATATGTGAATGGTGTTTAATTATTGTATAATGCAGAATCCAATTATTTAAGAGGCTGCTGCTTTTCCTATGGTGTGTTTCAATACTGAAAAACATATCTGTGGTGGTCATTGCCTTTGAGAACTTTTTTTTTTTTTTCCCCTACAGCTGTTCATCAGGGCCCATGCTTGAGCCTCAAATTATACTGCAAGACTATTCTTACTCAAGAAACTTTATTTTGTTTTTTAAATTACTTTGGTGTGTTGTACCAGGTAAAATTTTGTAATGAATACGATGATTTAAAGCTGCATATGCTAAGATTTCATTTTTTCTAGATACCCACTCATAACAAAATTTGAAATTCTGTATTTGTTTCGTTATACTAACTCCGTATTTATGAGGAGATTAATTGTAACTGCTTTGTAGTAAACCATGCTGGTATTTTGTTCTTTGTACCAGTTTGGTTCGCTATTGATTTCTGCCTCTTTGCTTGATTCTGAGCTGTGTTTACAATTAGTTATGTTCCTGAAAGAAACCTGTATGAAGAGTGGTCAAAAGAATGCAGTACTATCTGAAGCAGATTTTAACATACAAATTTACTATCAAGCTGTAATAAGATATTTATAACTTTATTGCCCTACTTCCT